CCTCTCTCAATTTTAGCGACACCTTGTAGTTTGGTATGCACCCGAGGAAATTTGCAGCTTTGGTGTCAAATGTGGTTGTTATTATGTTACAATTTGTTTCATCGAGTTCGTTGAGATCAATTTTTAGGCGTCTTATCCAAGTTCTACCTAAAATTGCTGAACACGTATCTGGGACGACGTATAAATCATCAGTAATTGCCATTTCGTTAAATTGTACGTGAACTCGTATTTTACCATCTGGAACAAACGTATCTTGCGTGTAAGAGCGAAAAACGATGTTTATTGGAATTAGTTTTTGCGATAATTTTAATTCATTGAATTGACTTCTGGTTAAAAACGAATAACCGGATCCAGAGTCTACTTCGAATTTAATTGGCTTACCCTCAACTACAATTTTGGCATAGTAGCGCTCTGAACTCGCCTTTGTATAATCGTTGCAGAAGGCGTCCACAACTTTATAGATTCCGTACTGTGAATCTTCACTTTGAATTTGATTTGTCTTCGTAGTGACCGGCAACAGGCCTATTCGCCAATAGAGTGGGTATGCAAATTTTGCTACATGCCCATTTTTATGACAGGCCTTGCACTGTAATTTCGCTTTGTTTGTACGGCATTCTTTTGCAAAGTGGTACCACGCCGCAGACATAAGCCAGCTATGCCCAATTCTGCATAATTAATTTTAAAAGATATTTGAGAAGAACGCGATTTTGATTGTGACTTTAAATGCTTAGACTTCTTTTTGAAAGTGATTTTGTTGATATCTGTTGAATTCGATACATTTTTTGTATCGTGCGCTAACTCCCTGGCGTCCATTTTAGCAGGTTCAAGCGCTAAAGCTTTTGAAAAAATTTCATCGAATTTGCACGTACCTGACTGAAGATGTTGTTGTTGTGTATACCTCGGATGAATTGAGCCCGGAGAAAAATATCGGCTTTCTGTGCTCTGCAACTGCATGGAGATATAAATTCACATTCATTTATACCTGTGCGAAGCTCAGTGACAAAATCTGCTACTGATTGTTGATCATTCTGGTACTTTGAAAGAAATTTATGTTGCGCAACTAATACATTTTTCTTCGGCGAAAGATGCGCTTCTAATATTTTTAGCAATTCATCGTACTGTAGCTCCGTCACTTCTTTTGGAGCAGCTAAAGCTGTAACGTATTGAAGTTTTTCGCCCCGATTGAATTCAGAAGTAATTTTGCACAATACTCCTTCTTCGCAGCTACATTCTTCATTTGCACGTAATTTGTGAAACGTTGAATGTAATTCTTGTACGATTCTTTTGCTGGATCGAACATATCGAAATTTGGTACCAGCGCGGTACTGATACTACTGCTTCCTTGTCCTGCACTTGACGTTGAAGCTTCTGCACTTATGGTCATAAGCTGTGCGACCATCTCCTGTTGCACTTTCATAAATGTGTCAAATTGCTTGACATCCATTTTAATGAGTTGACCCTCGTCACCAACTGTTTTAGTCGAGTCGATTGTAATTAAAAATGCTTTACTTCAACAATTATAGCTTAACCTAACAATTTGATGTGTGCACGCTATCTCGAACATTCGATATTAATACTCCTGTCATCTTCTATTTCTGTTTCATAACTTCCTGCCAATGCGTTGCCAGATTGGTATTATCTCACATAAACTGGAAGTACGTGACTTCTTAAGGATACAACAATTTGCTTTCAATTAACCCCTTTTATTCTAGAACACGAATTTTCGTAATCCGTAGCTACGCGACGAAAAACGAAAAATCCACATGCTGCAACCCTTGCGGAAACATGTGCAGCATTGCCAGCTACCAGTTGTTTTTCGAAGATAGCTGAATGAAGGAAAATAAAGTGGAGGAATTAAAAAAAAACACTCATCATGTGCTTGTTTATTGTAAAATTGGTTAATTTTACATACTTTGAGGAAAATTATGGATTGATGTATTTGCAATTATAGCAGCAGAGTAAGCGGGCGCTATGGCAATGGATTCACAAAGGTATGCGGAGCTGTTGGGCATAGTAACCATGGGCGCATCTATGTCAGCTTCTGGTTGAATTGTTAAACCACAAGCCAGAACTACTCCTATGCCTGAAGAACTGGTTATCAATCCAGTTAATGCAATAACAGCTTCTTCCAAGCCATTGAAAACATGCACTTTGTTAGGTCCACCACCTGTTGCATTTGCTTCTGCCTTCGGCCGCGCTTAGGGATTATAACCCTTACTAAGTAGAATTCTCCTTTCTGTGTTGCCGGAGAAGAAGGGCTTCCGCATGTCAAAGGTATACAACATTTCTTGTGCATGTCACTCCGGCTACGCCGTCCACAGTAGTTTTGTGCAGAACCCACGTCGAAATTTGAAAAAAAGTGCATAGTGCAAACCGAGTTTATTAATAAGCTAGTGGTTGCAAATTTGAAACACTTACCTTAAATAAAATGTGAATCCTTTGATTACACGTGTATGTTAAAGTTTTTGGACTCGGGTTATGCGTTTGGACACAACAACCGAAAATCGTTGTACATTAACTAAACCGGACCCAAGTTTCTCGATAAGGGGCAACAAATATTATTTTTTGCCCGTTTATATAAAGCAGTGGATAAAAATTACGTATACGCGAAAGGCAAATTTATCTGTTTAAATGAACACCACCAATATTTCTTGCAAACCCATATCGATTTACATCTTTAGGTGCAATCCCGTATTCCTCGGACTCGGACTAGTAAAACTGTCAAAAAATAAAAATTCGCTCAGAGCGAGAGAGTAACATCTAGTAAAAAATGGTAACTTCTGTCAACTTCAACATAACCTCGATCGGGATCGATTTCCAGTAAAATCTGACTGACTCTGACTATTTCTGACTAGTCCGGACTCGTACGGGATCGAACCTTTTTATTTCGCCTCCGACACAGAATTGTTTTCGTACAAAATTACGCAAAAAAAGCTTACTCGTTCGTTTTTAGGCATGCCATTGTTATGAATTTCGAAAGTTCGAAAATACGATTCGGATTGCAGCATACTATTTCTACGTTTCGTAGCAAAATCCGAATACGAAAGAGTTGCAGAATAGGGGTGTAAATAATAATAATAATAATATTCGAAAGACTGCACTTAATCTCTCTTAAACGTTTTCTGCTCCTGGCCAGTTTTCTAAGCTCTCATCCTCCGACGAATCGTTCAACCAGAACTCCGTTGTAATAACTAAAATTTTTTTACAAGGTTTTTATATACTCGCTTTTTTTAAAGTTCATTTCTATTTGCACAAATTGACATATGTATAAACACACTACTTAGTTTGCTCGATTTGTAAACAAAGCTTATGAGCAGTGAAAAATATACTATTGTCAACAACCTAAACGAGCGAAATTCACAATAGCGCTATTCTTCATCGAATGAGCGCCAGAATACCAAATGAAATTTCGTTCGATCAGCACTTTCGACCACAGTCGAAGATCGAATGCAACTCATAATAGAGGCCAGTACAACAGAGTTCTGGTTGAGCGATTCGTCAGAGGATGCGAGTTTAGAAAACTGGCCAGGAGCAAAATACGTTTAAGAGAGTTTAAGTGCAGTCTTTCGAATATATTTTGACATACAATATATTTAAGAAACTTTATGATCCAAATCTATTTATAATATATTAAAACTATAAACAGCTCTATGATTTTGTTCTCAGAGATTGTGCCAACATTGCATTTGCATCATCTTCCTCTAATATAGCAAGAACTTCGTGAAGAGAAATCCTGTGATATAACGAAAAGTTACAATGCATATTTTCTTAATGTACTAAATATAGTACACCTTCATTTGTTTATCCATGCGATTTTACAAAAAAAAAACTTACACCCGTATGCTGTAATCTGAAAGTTCGTAGTTACGAATTCGTAGCTCCGTTCCGAAAATTGGTATGCTGTATTCCGATGGCAACTATCAACGCCCTTTAATCCTTGGAATCCTCTTTAGCTCCTTTTACAAACCCTCGACCAATGTCCGGCCTTTCGCTCATGCATTTCACCAGTTTTTTGTATTGCGAGCGACTTGTTGTGTTCTTCTATCTGTTGATTTTGTAAAAATAATAATAATAATTTAATATTTTTTTTCTATTCACACGTTTACGTTTACACACTTTTTTTTATTGATATTTTAACACAAATTCTTTCGCTTCGACACGTACAAAATTTCCGACAAATACATAAAAACATTACGAATTTCGAAGATGACCTACGTATTTCGAAATTACGTTACGACAACGCGGATTTCAGCATACCAATTTTACGATTCGTAGCAAAATCGAATCTACGTCGGATTACATCAAAGAGGTGTTAATTTTTCATGTTACGCCGAAAGTGTCACTATATTTCTTTCACTTAGCAAT